ATAATTATTACTGCGTACACCTTTGAGTCACGCCGAACATAGGATAGGTCAAATTATGATACGAAAATGTTCACAAGAAAAAATTGGAATATTTATGAATTAAAAAAAATAGAGTAATCAAAATTTGTAGTTTTTCAATAAAATCTGTTTTAAAAACACAAAGTTTAAACATTTTCCTGGCAAAAATATATTGTCGTACACATGCAAAGGGTGATGCATTTCCCGGGTACCTGGTAACCGAGCACACGGCTGTGGCGGGCTTCACCATTTGGATTTCCTTCGAACTTGTAACAATCCAAACCCTTTTTTATTAACAAGGAACGTATGGATGCACTAAAGAGTACTGCATTCTTCAAATTTATTAAATATTTAGCTGATCTTCTATAACTCGAACCTATAACTCGAAATATTTTCTACTCGGTTATGTTTGTAAAATCAACGACTTGAGTTTTTGTGTTTGCTTATAGTTATGCATTAATTTACAAATTATAGCAACAGTGTTGAATTGCTACCGGTTGTTTCTGACTTCAGATAAAAAAAGTACCTATTATTTTTAATAATGATTGTCGGAACATATGGCGAAGAGGCACATATATCATACATATGTACATAAACATAAACATCTAGAGTATGAGTGGTAGGTAACTGACTGATTTCGGTTTCTTATCAGTCTTTGCCATGTGATTATAAGGGTTAGCAGTGAGTTTAACAACAGTAAAAACATGTAAAACCGATTCTTCGAAACGAAAAAATAAAAAGTTCAGCGGTAAAAGCAGGAACTTTTCTAAAGGCCATGTATTTAGGAGGGTCCAGTTAAGACAGTTTGAATGTATGAATGATAATTTTTATGTTTGAAGTGAAACTTCTTTACGCACGGTAGAGTAAGTTCGTTTCATGCGAGTTGCTATGTAACGAAATCATGCAACGCATTTCCCCCGCTGTTTGTCCCTTTGTATGCTTAGATCTTTAAAACTACCCAACGGATTTTGATGCGTTTTTTTTTAAATAGGTAGAGTAATTCAAGAGGAAGATTTATATGTAATACATGCATAATATAGTAGAGAAACACTTATAATTTTAGAGGTTTGTAATGTGATGTCGTAAATAAACATTTTTTTGCGCTTACATTGCAAACGCTGGCTGAACCCCTACGAGATAGATCAAAATAATATACTACAGTATGGTACACCTTAAAAGGGTTTACAAAAAAGTCGGCGATGGTATATGTCTATCTCAGGGATAACCCACAATAACCATTTTTTATCCTTTACTTTTTACAAGAAATAATGGCTTATTTACGAAGCGATTTTAAGCAATACAGAATTAATCCTTATCCAATTAAATACTTTTAAATACATTGTGCATTTAATATAGATCTATATGGCCCTTTACAGCATGTAATTTAAATGAATATTTTCGAAGATATTACACACTTAAAATGCAGGGACATAGCGGTTGCGGCGGTACCGGCCGATTTGTATTTTCTAATGACAAAAAAGCTGTAATTGTTGTATATAAAGACATTCTATAGTATATTTACTATCAGCATTGCACCCGTGCGAATCATAGTGTACAAATATTACCATTAAACCAATTCCTTAACCCCTATCCCGGTATGTTTGTGTGTTTGAAGAAGTTTCACTTCAGTAGTGTGTTGTATAATTACACGTTGTATTTTTTTTTTAAAAAGTTTGTCAATTTTGAGATTTTAAGGTGGTACAGTTAATACACCTACTATGGCGTAATTTATAGAAACGTAATAAATGCATGTTGTGAGCAAATAGATAAACTTGAATATGTTGAAATTAGTGGATTCCAAGTAGACATTCACCGGATAGTGCAGGCAAAACCACTACGATTAATGATTTATGGCTTCGTTTTGGCGAACTTTCCGTTAAATACCACCCTAATCAATGAAGTTTTATTTTTTGATTGGCGAATTTTCCGACATTGTCTGGTATCCGGCCGGATCCTTAAAAAGTGCTGGATCTGCCGGGTACAGGATCCAAGCAGGCTAAACAAATGTACTTTTTTTACATCACAAAACTCAATATCACTACATGCGAGTAAACTGCAAGTTCAGTTGTTAAGGGCGAGATAAAATGATAAGAAAAACAAGTCTAGTGTATTTAATGTGAGACAGTGTAGGATGTAGGATTTGCAATTGGGGGTGGGGGTGCAGTAAAAAATTAGAATGTTGCCTTTCATCTTATATATAAGTATACTTTATATATACGAGGGGCATTCAAATATAAACGAGCCTTTTACTTTTGAGGACTTAGAAAGCCTGTTGGAGGTAAGCGGATGGTAAGCCCCCCATACCCCTCCCTTCGATCCGCCACTGTTGTGAAGTAGATGGGTACATTGCATTTTTATACCTGTGTATATTCACAACATTATATTCATGTTTATTTGTGAAATTTAAAAATTTATTTTTGGAAATATGTACGTATTTACCCACCTGTATTGTGTAACGCTTTTCTATTTTGGATTTCTGTATCATTTTCTCATGCGATAACAACGAACAACTAATATAATATTTCAAAAAGTTTAATTAGTCAGAAAATCAAAAGCAGCGAATTCTGCGTTTATTTAAAACTTTTTTGGATAATTTTATAACTGGAAGTTACTTATTAATGGCCTGATTAATGTAATGTGTCTGAGAAGAAGCAAGCTTGTCTAGACTAATACTGAATACCCAGTACTCTGCAATATCACTATCTGGTGCTTTTCTACTGATAATAAAATAGAAAAATTGTTTCAATCTTATATGGTAAATTGTATGCTTTTTCTGAATAAAGGAATTTTTAAGATTAATTTATCAAGTTTATTTCCTCACCTATCGTCTCGTATAATATTGAATTTGAATCACAAATATTCACATTAACTTATGTACGTTTTAGTAGTATTTTTTTTGGACTTTCTGAGCTTCAACGTCATTATTTTGTAATTTAGCATAGAAAACAGAAATAATGAAAAATTGGAATAAACTTCCCAGATTGTGTAATATGTTTAAATGTGATTACTGATTATTTATTTGATTAAAATCTTTTATAGTAATCCCGTTAAAACCCACTTATCTGATATGCGCATTTATTGCAGGAATCATGAAATTTTCGATTTCGAGTTTCCCGTAATTTTGAATTATTACGCGCACTTTCCTTATTTCTTGCTCATTTCTTAATTATGTTAAACGTATCTAAATTAATTAATGAACTATAGAACTTATACTGTTTAAAAAAAAATATATTTTCCGATAGCAATTCCTAATTTTTCGAACTTACGATTTTTTTTGGCTGATATAATGCTAATTTTAAAAGTAAATGATTTATTAGATATAATGTCTGAACATTAAATTGTCTCGTCTCCCTCAGTCAGTGGCGGATCACCGACAGTCTTAAAAAAATAAAAGAAGACTGTAAATTTCTTAAATAATGCACCATTTTGCTACTTTTACTTGAAATTACACATAACTAATGTATGGGCCACTTACGGAGCCCTACGGGACGGGGGTTTAATACAGAGTCACAATTAGATCCGTTTCTGATCCAATTGTAACGAGCGAAATTTTGTGCGCCCAAATTAGAAAGTTACATAAAAAGTACTCGAAATTTCCCAAATAATTTTTAGAAATGTGGTATTAGTTTTTGTACAAAACATTAAGAAAAAACGTTAAATCGCTTTGATTAGTTAGAATGTAAGGTTGCTAAAAAATAATTTATTGTTTTTCAAAATGCAGCTTGAAACTACATTTAACGTAAACATGTGTATGATATAGGATAAAGAATGATTTTAAAAATAGCAGTAATTATTATTGCGCAAAAAACATTGCAGATAGAGATACAAGTATTTAATTAACTGCTACTTTGTTTGAAGTTAAGCGTAATTGAAGAATGGGAAAATATTCTTTCATTAATAGCGTAATAGAAATTTTATTCAATATTTTGATTATTTTTTGGAATCAGTGAATGGCTACAAATAGTTAAATCGAAATTATTTATTTGAAATATTGTCATCAAATTGATTTTAATTAATATTTTTTGCAAAATTTTTCGTTTTATTTTGAAAACGCGTATTTTCTTCTGATCATACATAATATATTCATATATTGCAGCAACAAACAATTAAAATATCTCTGCAGAATACAAATATAAAATAAAATTATCTTGAAAACTTCACGGGTTTGCTTTATTTTATTTATATCTTCATTTTTAATGGACTTACAACATTTCATTAGTAAATCGAAACAAAAATGGAATTTATAGTACAAAAAAGAGTAAAATTGTAAATAATTTTTTAATATTGGGGGCACTATAGTAATACTTTATCAGTAATGTACTTAATTAGTATGCAACCTAATATACACGTCTGTATACAATTTATAAAGTAGATATACTTAGCTTTATACAGAAGTTGCAAAAAATACTTTTTGTATTTAATTTTGTTTGTCAATACAGCAAGTATTCAATAGTGTGAACAACAAATAATAAACACTGTACATATTATAGATTTCTGGACGTTAACGAATGTAATAATTAATATATATATATATGTAAAACACTATTGCATACTTATTGAAGGATAAATCTGGCTTAGAGGATAATTTTATCCTAATAACTTTCTGAAAAGCGAATTTCAGACAGTTTTTTAATGTATTGAAATCTTGTCTTATCAATTTCACTTATGAACGAATCAAATTTGCTTTTTGCTTAATTATTTCGCCGCAATAAAATCTGTATGTCGTTGATTATAAAAGTTATACAACTTTTTTTTCCGCTCTGGGAAAGTACGAAAACTTAAATGTTTTTCTTTTACTGTTTTACGTATTTCGATATATATCAGTATTGTAAATTTTACGGCACCATGCTTTCCGGTTAAATAATTCGTCCATCACGAAATTCCCAAATGTTATTTAAAATTTGTTTGTGCGCTTTAGTTCACTGATTCAGAAGCAGTTAAACAAATAATAAAACTATTAAAAATAGATAAATGAAGCATAGTACAGTTTGCAAATTGAAATTTATTATTATGACTTGAGTTGTTTGTACACAAATCTTTATGTACATACCTATTTAACCCTAAACATAAAATATTCACAATATAACAATTGATTTGAAAAAAAATAATCTATTAAAACTTATTTAGTTATTGTATGTTACATATTAGGAAATGGAATAACTTACAACTTAACAAACACCACCAATTGAGTTTTTCCATCTTCAAATCAAAACCATAAAATAAATAGTACATATTTTGAAATCACATTTTGTATACAATATATAATACTATATAGGACAAACTTTAATTTCATTTTAATTTGCTTTTTAAAAAAAATAATGCACTTGAAGTAGTATAAAAAATTCAATCTAACTTCCACAGACAGAAAAATTCTTTAAAAGTAGCCTATTTAACTGTTTATAGGTCATTTTGAACCTATAACTTTTCCTGTATCTTCATGCCCTTGATATTTGGGTTTCCCATGGGTAAAAGGCAGGTACCGATATTTAATCATATGCTGAAAATTATGAAACACCAAAATTAATAAATCGATATTTTCCAAATTCTCTTTAAACTTACTCTTATTTGTCTTTTCATCGTGATACAAAACAGTGTTAGGAAATACATGACCAAAATTGGCCAAAACACGGGGATATTGAAGCATTCGAAAAAAGTACAAACAATAGCAACAAGTGTACTTTTTGTGATAGAATACCAAAACTTAAATTCTGGTAACCTTCTTATAAAGGGCCTAAATTCTTCGTTCGCTCTTGTCGGCAATTCTGGTCCACCCTCATCTGTTTCGAAATTTAACTTTTAAAATTACCAAACAAAGTATTTAACAAAAATATTTTACCATCAAAATCCATTGCTGGATCCATTTTTGGTGTCAAGAAGGCAATAAATAAATTTAAATGATAAATTCCCAATGCATACGTTACAATGTACCATCCCTGCAAAGTTATTCATTAATTATTACTTAAATTAACACAAAACAATAGGCAAACTACAGATTAATTAATTAACAAAACGGTATGGTTTAAAAGGAAAAATAGACAATAAACATGTATGAAATATAACAAATATGCGCAGAAATAATTTCACAAATTATCATCTTTACCGTTTACCATTTACAATCCATTCAATATATTTAGGAAGGAAGTGGTGGAAAGACTTATTAACAATTTTACAATAAGTAATGACTTAACGGTTTACAAGCGTTAGCATTAAAAAGATATAATACACCTTCAATACTCATTTACTATTGATAACAGCAGATGAAATTGAAGTATATGATTACCTAATACCGTTACTTAAAAAGAATATAATGGGATACCTGGGTGATAAGAACACGTGCCAAAAAACCTGCAATCAGTAACAGGGCAGCCACCCATCGTGTGATACGCCAAGGCACTGTCTTATCCACCACTCCTTGGTAGCACTAGAAAAGATTAAAAATAATTGATACCTGCTTGGTTAATACTCTTAAGCCGAATAAGATCAGTAAACTCAATGTGGCAACCCAACGACACTTTGTGTATGGGGTCCATCTGTCTAAAGTACTTTGGTAGATCTGTTTAAATAAAAGTAACTAATAATAGTAAAAAGAAATATTTGCAAAAAGTTAGTAATTATGCTATTTCCATACTAATGCAAACATTTGGAAAATCTTCATGGTAAGGAATAAACGATTTATTCTTTTAGATTATCAATTACTACTTCATTAAATTATTTGTACAACTGCACACACTCTAACCTTTTAATATAATACTTTCAACCGTTTTAATATAAATTAACGTTTTTAACTTAGAATATATTGTAAATATAGAGTTTGAATAGACATCTACTAGTATCAATATCAATATCTAAAAAGGTACTAATTAAAGGAAATCAACTCTAGAAATTCAACTTCATTTTCTTAGTATGTACCTGTGATAAACGTGTCCATGCTTGTGAAATTACACCTTTTTTATTATTAGTTGCGAGTAGATCCTCATCCATCATTTTTAAGGAAGAATAGTCATCTAGGACAAAAAATTATTCTAATTAAATAGGGCAGTTTCAAAGTTAACCTAAACTTAATTAACTAGGTATTATTCCTTAACATATTAATTGCCGTGATTAATTGGGACAAAAATGTTTTATAGATGCAGCACTTACTCAAATTATATAATGTGAAAATTATTATTGTACAATGATTTTAAATTTTAATTGTAATACATTTTCAACAATCTTCATCCACGTCAAACTGCGGTGCTGACTCCAATCTATGGCTGACAACCACTGACTTGTTATCTATGAACCTGACTATGAAGTTATTTATGATATTTATTAGTGGATGGATTCATATTTTGCACATATTATCAGAACATAGATAGAATAGAGGAATGAATTGTCAAAATGCAGAGGAGATATGCTACGATTCAAATGATAATACGTTATTTGTTTTATATTTTAAATACAAATAATTGGAGAATAATTTTGAGCTGTTTCTAAGCTCATTAGTTGTTAGGGATAGTAGAAACTAACTTAATTTATGACGTCACGAAAAATTTGTATTTCCATATGTCAAGTTAAAATTCAGAAACAGCAGAAATTGGTGGATGCAAGTGGTTCTTGTGTTGAAGGAGAAAATTTCATCATATAAACTGTTTATAGCAGTTATTCTTTTAAATACTTTCACCAAAGATTCGTTATTCCAATGGAAACTTATGAAAGTGTACTTTTAGTAAAACCTGAGGTATTCGTTTTTAATATTCCCCCAAGAAATTCTGCCAGGGGTTACAGGTAAAATTTAATATAAAGTGCATTAAATCTTTCAACACCCACTTATTAGGTGGGCGTGTATTGTTAACAACATCCGCTATTGATAAGAAATATATGGAATAAAGGATTACCTTCTTAGCAATATATTTACATAAAAATACATTGTTTATTTCAGAGCTGCTGACTGGAATCTACNTGGTGGCTAAGGGAAACAATTTAGAAATGAAGTTGGAAGACAAGAATTCTGGAGAATTGTTTGCTAAATGTCCCATTGAGACTTACCCAGGAGTTGCAATTGAAGCAGTTTCTGATTCATCAAGATATTTTGTTATTAGAGTTCAGGATGATAATGGTAAGTTCCTAGTATTTAGTTTGCAGCATAAATTGATACTTAATTTAAAAATAAATATATATTTATTTAACAAATTATGACAAAAAATATAAAACAAATCAAGAAAGATAAATACAAAATAAAAACAAATTGTAACTGAAGAGGTACTAAAAATGAACATGTACGCAGCTTAAAGTGAGACTAGGAAAAACTAAAATTATGAATCTAAATTAAAATAGCACAAAAAACAAAAAAAAATTATCCCAAAATATTAAAAAAGAATAAATTAAAATTAGAACATGAAAACATTAAGTTATATAATAACAATGATATGATAATATTATGTTTTAAATACTATATTAAATTAGTAATTACATTTCTTATTGTACCTTCAAGGTGTTTTTATATTTTTGGTTTTAATATTTTTTAAACTGTTTGGCAACTTATTGAATATCATTCAAATTATTCAAACAAAAAACTGAGATAAATTTCTCTTCATGTACTATTAATGAAGTATAAATGTAAGTTAACATTATATTGTTAATGATATTTATATTTATGGTTGTTATTTTTTTAATTTCAAGGACGTAATGCTTTCATTGGAATTGGTTTTGGAGACAGATCAGATTCTTTTGATTTAAATGTGGCTTTGCAAGACCATTTCAAATGGGTCAAAAAGGAGCAACAAATAAGTGAAGAGCCTTCTGCTCCTAAACTGGACTTGCAGTTTAAAGAAGGAGAAACCATTAAAATAAACATGAAAATCACAGTATGTTTTCTTTTGATACATATAGTTTTTCTGAGATAATTATCTAATAATTTCTTTTGCAATTAGAAAAAGGATGGTTCTGAGTCAAAGTCAAAGCTAAAGAGTGGGAATGGCTTAGGTCTGTTACCTCCTCCACCAGGTGGTAACAAAATTCCTGGCCCTCCAGGTACTTCACCCCAGCACATGCAAAAGGCAGAAGCGAGTGGAGACAACTGGGGGGACTTCACATCTGCACAGCCAAGGTAAATTTCAATCAATATATTTTTATTTTTGTTTGGTATAATATGTTCATTCTAAACATTTGATCTAAATGCATCTTAAATATTTTTTATAAAAATTGGGAATAATTGAAGCAGGTTTTTCTGATAGTCTTGAAAAATTCACATAAATGTTTACTTTTTCGTTTTGTTTGTTTTTTTATTCATCAGTCTTTTTTCTAATATTTAATTTTTGTAAAAGCTTTGATATAAAATGTTTGTAGACATTTTGAATGGCTGTATGCATGAAACCTTTTTTTCAAATTTAAAAAAAGGACTTATTAAAAGAAAAATTAAAGAGAGGCCAAAAAACATTAAAGATTTAAAAAATGAATTGCTGAAATATTTCTTACTCTACATAGTTATTTATGCTCGCATGTACTAGCCTGATTGTTTATAATTGTTATAAATGAGGTGATTAAAAGAAGAACTTTTTAATTACAGTTCTCAGACATCTCAGCCACCAACAAACACAAATTGGGTGCAGTTTTAACAATATCAACTGTACAGTGTAAACATTTATATGCATTTATCAATCATAATTGTTGCAGTTGTTATAGCATTTTGTTTTTAATAGAATTGGTGGTAAAAAAGTTTGAGCAGTAGTTTTCAGTGTAGTAAGAAACGAAGTGGACAATTTTACGATTAGATTAGTTTCAATAAATGCAGAGATACTTAAGTATAGATTAAGCTTTAAGAGTTAAATATGAATTTTATATTATTTATCGTAAAAATGGTGGTAATGTTGTAAATCTTGAATTATTTAAGACTATTTTCTTAATGCAGTAATATCTGTGAATTGCGATAGTGTGAACGATGTAATAATTACTGACTGTGAAATATTATTGTAGATTTTGTTGGTAAGTTGGTTCTCTTTAATTAATTAATCATAGTTTTATCAAGAAGGGTGCATAATAAGAAAAATTACTATTAATTGTTAATAGTTGTTTTGAAAAATAAAGAATTTATATCATGTGTGCTATCAGCATAATTTCTTTTCAGTTTTGCATAATGAAGTAACTAGATTATTCTTTGTCTTCTTACAATTATATTTATTTTGAGCGGTTTCTAAGCTCATTAGTTGTTAGGGATAGTAGAAACTAACTTAATTTATGACGTCACGAAAAATTTGTATTTCCATATGTCAAGTTAAAATTCAGAAACAGCAGAAATTGGTGGATGCAAGTGGTTCTTGTGTTGAAGGAGAAAATTTCATCATATAAACTGTTTATAGCAGTTATTCTTTTAAATACTTTCACCAAAGATTCGTTATTCCAATGGAAACTTATGAAAGTGTACTTTTAGTAAAACCTGAGGTATTCGTTTTTAATATTCCCCCAAGAAATTCTGCCAGGGGTTACAGGTAAAATTTAATATAAAGTGCATTAAATCTTTCAACACCCACTTATTAGGTGGGCGTGTATTGTTAACAACATCCGCTATTGATAAGAAATATATGGAATAAAGGATTACCTTCTTAGCAATATATTTACATAAAAATACATTGTTTATTTCAGAGCTGCTGACTGGAATCTACNAGAGTGGGAATGGCTTAGGTCTGTTACCTCCTCCACCAGGTGGTAACAAAATTCCTGGCCCTCCAGGTACTTCACCCCAGCACATGCAAAAGGCAGAAGCGAGTGGAGACAACTGGGGGGACTTCACATCTGCACAGCCAAGGTAAATTTCAATCAATATATTTTTATTTTTGTTTGGTATAATATGTTCATTCTAAACATTTGATCTAAATGCATCTTAAATATTTTTTATAAAAATTGGGAATAATTGAAGCAGGTTTTTCTGATAGTCTTGAAAAATTCACATAAATGTTTACTTTTTCGTTTTGTTTGTTTTTTTATTCATCAGTCTTTTTTCTAATATTTAATTTTTGTAAAAGCTTTGATATAAAATGTTTGTAGACATTTTGAATGGCTGTATGCATGAAACCTTTTTTTCAAATTTAAAAAAAGGACTTATTAAAAGAAAAATTAAAGAGAGGCCAAAAAACATTAAAGATTTAAAAAATGAATTGCTGAAATATTTCTTACTCTACATAGTTATTTATGCTCGCATGTACTAGCCTGATTGTTTATAATTGTTATAAATGAGGTGATTAAAAGAAGAACTTTTTAATTACAGTTCTCAGACATCTCAGCCACCAACAAACACAAATTGGGTGCAGTTTTAACAATATCAACTGTACAGTGTAAACATTTATATGCATTTATCAATCATAATTGTTGCAGTTGTTATAGCATTTTGTTTTTAATAGAATTGGTGGTAAAAAAGTTTGAGCAGTAGTTTTCAGTGTAGTAAGAAACGAAGTGGACAATTTTACGATTAGATTAGTTTCAATAAATGCAGAGATACTTAAGTATAGATTAAGCTTTAAGAGTTAAATATGAATTTTATATTATTTATCGTAAAAATGGTGGTAATGTTGTAAATCTTGAATTATTTAAGACTATTTTCTTAATGCAGTAATATCTGTGAATTGCGATAGTGTGAACGATGTAATAATTACTGACTGTGAAATATTATTGTAGATTTTGTTGGTAAGTTGGTTCTCTTTAATTAATTAATCATAGTTTTATCAAGAAGGGTGCATAATAAGAAAAATTACTATTAATTGTTAATAGTTGTTTTGAAAAATAAAGAATTTATATCATGTGTGCTATCAGCATAATTTCTTTTCAGTTTTGCATAATGAAGTAACTAGATTATTCTTTGTCTTCTTACAATTATATTTTGGTAATGAGTTTGATAGACTTGGGAAAAGTTGCTTAAATTATTCTTTTCTTCTAAAATATTTATTTGACTTGTAAGAATTCCGTGGTAGGATAATTATGAAACATAATAGTAATAATATGAATAAGAGTTGCTTTTCTATGTATCATAAAAGATTTATTATGAAACACTTGATAAAGGCATCATATGATGAAAAAATTGTGGTTTCACGATAAACTTTTTTGAAACATGAAAGCAATTTTTCTAGATTATTTATTTAACCAAATTTGATTTTTAATGTACTAGAATAACATAAAGGTGCCTAAAAATCTTGCACATATATTTAGAAAGTAAAAAGACGAATAAAAGAATTTGGGGTCTCGCTATTCTGTATGTATATTTAAAACTATTAAGATTACAGCGATTATGAAAAAATTAGTAATACATTCATCCTATTTCCATAACTTTTTGATAGACATGTTTTTCTCAGAATCTTTCTGCATTACTTTGGCCACAGCCATTTCAAAGTCCTCTTGCGTAACGTGAACTCTACGTTCTCTCAGAGCATACATGCCAGCTTCGGTACAGACACCCTAAAATTACAGAAATTAAATAATAACCATGTAATTGTAACAGAAATTTTGGCGTACTTTGACTTCTGCACCACTTGCTCCGGGCATGAGCTCTGCAATCTTTCTTAGATTAATACCACGAGTTAAGTTCATTTTTCTTGAATGAATCTTTAGAATGTCTAAACGGGCTTCTTCGTTTGGTGGAGGGAATTCAATTTTACGATCAATACGGCCAGGCCTAAGTAAAGCTGGATCCAAAATATCTATGCGATTTGTGGCCATAATTACCTAAAAAAGGCGAAATGTTTGTACAGAATTATTACTTTAAACAATCATGTTACCTTAATATTCTTAGTAGCTTCAAACCCATCAAGTTGATTAAGCAATTCTAACATAGTTCTCTGTACTTCTGAGTCTCCTCCTGATCCTGATTCAATACGTGAGGAACCTATAGAGTCGATTTCGTCCATGAAAATAATGGATGGTGCATGTTCTCTAGCCATAACAAAAAGTTCACGAACCATTCGGGAACCTTCTCCAATGAATTTTTGTACTAATTCTGATCCAGATACGCGAATAAAGGTGCATTCAGTATGATGAGCTACTGCACGAGCTAACAAAGTTTTTCCAGTTCCTATAAATTAATTTATTTTGTTATGTAATATGCAACAATTTTTATGAAGTAAAATGTTTACCTGGCGGACCATATAATAAAACTCCCTTGGGCTGTGCAATGCCCAATGCATCAAAGAGTTCTGGATGTTTAACAGGGAGCTCAATAACTTCTTTGATTTCCTTTATTTGCTTATCAAGACCTCCTACCATTTCATATGTTGAATCAGGAACCTTCTCTACCATCATCAATGAAACTAATGGGTCCACCTTACAAATAAGTAATGAATTATCTTTGGATTTCATTTCAAAGTTAATAGCTTACCTTGTTTGGTAATATTTTGTGCAAAGTGTAGCTTTCATTTCTTAATGCAACACGACAATTAGGTGTCACATCATTTATGTCTATGTTTTTATCAATATCCACTACAAATTTCCCTTCTGGATGAACTTTAACCAAAACTTTCTTTTTGTCCATTGGCTTAACAACTTCTCCAACATAACTTCCTTGTTCTTGCAATAACATAAGTTCTTCTCTTAGCATGCGTACCTTGGCATTTAACTCATTTCTTTGTGCTTGTAATCTTCTAAGGTTTTGGCTTTTTTCTGCTACTATTAGTTGTAATTCCTCTATCTTTTGGATATAATATGATCTAAAACCTTCACCTTTTGATCCAGAACCATCTACTTCCATCTAAAATGATGACAATAAAAAATAAAGACAAGGACCTAAAGTAAATAATACATCGGTCATTTTTGAAGAATCACTGATCATATTTGAAGTTGTGTTTTTTTTAGAAGTAGAAGGCAAAGATTTGAAAGGAGATTCTACTTTTGTGTGAGATAGATCAGTTCCCATTACTTGAATCTAATTTTATATCGTAGTAAAAATTATTACGTGAAATTAAAACAAACGACAAATTGTCACAATTATTGTACAAAATACGAACCTTATTAATGACAGTCATCTTGAATTGGTATTTTGTTTAAAAACGCACTTATATCTAAATTTACCCAAATAATTTATATAAATTTACTTGTTTATATTCACCACATTTAATGGCAACACACTACTCCGCAATATGAACTTGAAATTCACGCTTTTCGACATTTGACAGAGTATTATTTTGAGTGGGGTGGTGTCTGTTTTTGCATGTTGACAAGTTTATGAAATGTGCTAGTTCAGTGATATCATCAGTGAATGTGCATTTTTTAATTAATAGGTATATTTTGTAAATTTTTGTATAATTACAGCCGTTTTTAATTGTATATGCGATATTAGTATTAATAGTTTCAACATTTTTTTTACATATGTATATATGAAATGACGTATGCAACCCATTATACAGTTTTGATTACATTGCGATATACACATTCAATGAATCCAAAAAGGACGCAATATGCTTATTGGGGCCAAACCGAAAGTTTAATGAAAACATTTTTCAAACAAAACTTTTCCGTATTCCAATACAACAACATCTGTAACAATTAAATTTAATTTACAATACAGAACGTTCAAAAACAGGAAAAATCAACACTGCTAAATATTAAATTATTCAAAAAAAGTTGCAGGAAAACGTTCAGAATACCAAAATATGGTCCCATTCAAAAAATCGCGATTATATTCAAACGTTTTTGTTACTTTATACTGATCTCGGGAATCGATTAAGTATAAACTTTTTCCTCAAGATTTTAAAATGAGCTTATATCACAAAATAGATATTTTTTTAAATGAAGTTGTAGTTCTGAATTTACTTGATGCTGTATTATTTTTTTTCTATGATTTGTGGTTTAGAAAGTTTTAATGAAAATGACTAAATAATATATTATTATTAATATTACCCTAGTAAAACATACGTACGATTTTTTAACAACTTTAAGCAATTTGTTTAATGGTTGTTTTATTTTCAGATAACTTCACCTGAAATGTAATAAATTCAATTCTGAAATACATTTATCAGTCTGAAAAATGCGTACTTAATTTTCTGTCAGGACTTTATTGTGAGTTCTGCAGAAAATCGTTTCATAATCAAATAAAACTCGATTTACTTTTTATAACATATTTCTCCCTACCGTGTATATTTATACGGTCGTGAATTATATTGTTTTTTTTAATTTATTTTAAACTAAATTATTCCTTTTGTTTCAGCATTCTGAATTTACCTATGAACGAAAATTCCTTACAAGCCACTGTCATAAGGATATCTTGAAATCCACTAAAACTTAAAGGTAGGATTTTATTCAACATTTTTTCTTTTTCTTATTTTTGAACTAAAAGTATCAAGGTGTATTAAAGTTGTTGTAAGGCATTAGTGAAAAGAATTTTATAGTTAGAAATCAGGAAGAGTACTTTGAACCCATATTTTAGAAATGTTTTTTTCTTGATAAATTAATTTTTCCCTTATTAAACGAACTGAAAGTACCAAAGCGTATTAAAGTTGTTGTGTGGCGTTAGTGAAAAGAATTTTATGGTTGGAAATTATAGGAGTGCACTTTCAACCTCCTGCACTTTAAACCCCCAATTTAAAAACGTCTTTATTTCTTGATAAATCAATTTACTTTCAAAGTAATAATAATCAAGAAGATTATTCTTATTCAAAAATAGCAATCGTTTAAGAAAAATAATTAACCACTTTTTCTGATTTACATGTAGTAACGATAAGAATAAAACAATTAATTTTTAGTATTCTATCCAAACATTGGGAAATTTTGTAGATTTTCTTCTCTTATATGTAATTCTTTTTGCCATTTATTCCTGCATTTTTTAACATTCATAACATTCTCTGCGAGTAGTACATATCTGTTTGTCTTCGTTCTAATCTCTTTAACGGTCTCTTTTTATAATCGTACTATTCGGTCACCTTGCCTGCTTGTCTCGAGAACTATGTTGCTTCTATGTATGTATTGTGAAGATACAGTTTTTGGATAAAATCTTGAATTCTGTTGTTGAGAATAAATAGTCCGATTAAATTTAAAAATTAATTTACGGTTTTATGAATTAAATATTCAAATTTTGTAGAAATGCGTATTTTACATATTCTAACATTTTTTGTTACAAATTGTACGGTTGATAACAATCTTGCCATAGGTATTTCTGTTGTTATTAAGGGGCTTTAGTGAAAGATATTTGAATTAAAAAAAAAAATAAGAATATTTAAGCTTATTAAATTATTATGTGTACATACATATTTGCGTTTATTCAATTATAGAAATACTTAATAGTAATGCAGAAGTACTGTTTGCGTAGGTCATAAGCATATGTATAATTACAATACATGCATTTTCATGAAACTTTTGCTGGAAAAATAGAGACGTTGCCCATGCTTTAATAGTTCTGGCGCACCCTGAATATTAATAACCTAACCGGATATAATAACGTAAAATTTAAAACCGTAAGCATCCAAGTTCACATAACCCAAGACGCTTTGCTTAATACAAAACTATGCGGAGTTTTTATTTAACGGTACAAAAAGTCTATTACTTTGTCTAAATCGAGAGATTTTGCGATTTTTCTCGTTGAACCTGATCGCTAAATTATGGTAAAAAAATTGCATACGCACTAGGGGAGGAAATTAATATGCGGTTTGATTCCTTACTTTTGATAATTAGTTGCGTAATATTATGAATTACTATTCTTTATTACTATCCATTACTATAGACCTCGTTTTTTTAAGTTTTAAGTCCAATTGCGAAGTTTTTCGATTGTTTGAACCAAATGAAAAAAATATTTGAGTATTGCCGCGATTTTTTTTTACATAGGTAAAAATAAGATTAACTTTACCTCATATACATACAAATAAAAATAATCTTTTCTTTATGTATGATAATTTTTGGAATTACCCGATAACTAATATAATATTCTCATTCCATAACCGTTAGAGGTAGTTCCATTACTTACGAAAACTTTTTTATAATGAAGGGGATGGCTAGAAAAATTACAAATAAACACGACATACTACATTTTTTTATTAAAAATATGTATAAAAGTAACATAAATCATAACAACCTATAGAATAATTTTGCAAATATTAAGTGGCACGTACAGTATGTTAGTAACTAATCTAAAAATCTATAATGCTATTCTGAGGCACTGTTATTATTTATATTACCATTTAAGATTAAAGATAACCTTTTCTTGGGTGTCCTCTTCAGACTACCTAAAATGTTGAGCATTTCCGAAACGGCTTTTGGAGTTTCTCGCTCTTTCTTTTGATTTTCTTTCTTGGCTTTCCGCAAAGTGAATTTTCCATCTTTTATTTGGTTTATGATATCTTCATTGACACCTACAGATGGTGCCTTTTTGGTTGCGACATCACCATTTTCAGAAACCGTTCCTAAAGCATCTGCCATGTCAGGTATAGAACTGCGTGCCAATTTTTTCGTTCTCTGGGGAGCGACGGGGGGTGCCAATGATGGTAGTGGGGGTGGGGGAGGAGGAGGTGGCGGAAGTGGAGGAGCAGGGGGCACTGTTTTAAGGGTCATTTCTGCTTTTTCCGCTCTTTCTAAAGCAGCCTGAAGATCTGATTCAACCAATTTGAGGCGTTCTTCCAGTATTTCATTGTAGGAGTTCTTTTCAGATTCTTCGAGTTTTTCCTAAAGTTTAAAAAATTATTCATTAAAGTAAATAACAAACAAAAATTTTTTTAGTCGTCAATTAATGAAAATATCAAAATAAATAACAATTATAATTCATACCTGCAGATTACTGATTTCAAACTGGTGTTGATTCCTTTCTTCCTCAATAACTCTTTTTAGTTCTTCTATTTCCTGCATCAGCAATAATTTGTTATTAGACCCGTCGTCGGAATTCAGTCGATGCAGAAGTATGGCGCTTTGATGAGCTAGAACATTTCTTTCGGCTTTACAGTTTGCAGCTAGTTTTCTAAAAACAACGAAGTCGAAATTATTTTAAGAACATTTTCGAGATATTTTAATAAATATATTTACTTTAATTCTTCTACTTCTTCCTTTTTGGTTTCTTCCGAATTCCTTAGTGCGTCTAATTCGCGTCTCATGATCTCTGAAACTCTTAATAACTGTTTGTTATTTTCTTGTAAACTTTTAAGTTCCGCTTCTAGTTTTTCGTTTTTGTCTCGTTCTTCTTCAAGTTCCTGATTTAAGTTAATGTTCTGTTCTATAGTTTCAAATTCAATCAGTTTAGACGCGTTTAAATCTGCTTGCAGTCTCGCAATTTCTGCACTCAGTTGCTTAACATTTTCGTTGAGATTATCAATGTCACTATCTGATTTGGAATCATCTTCATCTACCCCTTCATCTACTGCATCTTGATCAAGGAGCATTGTTCTCCTCTTGAGAACTTTCATCTCTTTGTACCAATGTGATGCTTCAGTAAGGGCTCTGTAAATGTGTTCTTATTAAAAAAATTTTTAGTAGACTATAAGTTTGAAGACCATAGTTTTGTTACAGGTGTTAAGCTACATTCTTATACGTTTTTGTAGATCTTACCTATGCATAGCTCCTGTTTCGGTTTCGTATTGGTTTTTTAAAGTATCATATTCCTTAAACAAATTTTTGGATGCTGTTGTTAATTTTGTTAAACTCTCGTTTTTCTCAAATAATTCCGTTTCTAGTTCATCTATTTTAATTTGAAGATTATTGTACTTTCTTTCCAATTCATTGTAGTTCATGATTTCTAAAATTATTTGCTAGCTATAATACTATGATAAAAATGGCACTTAGATTAAGAAGTAGTTTTTACCGGCACTTTCATATTTTGTTGCATCTTTCTCTGAGTTTATCAAACCTTTTGATGCCACAATTTCAAGTATTGAACGTTCAGCTCTACCATGACAATTTTTGATTAAATTTCTTTCAAAGCAAAATGGTCTGTAAGTGTTAAACATTGTAAACTTGTAAAATGTGTCAGTCAGGTCAATTAGACATTTAATACGTAATTCATTTTCATATTTTATTAGACACTTGCAAGACGTAAAGCAAAAAAAGAGGAAGGACCTGTTTTATTACTGTCAAATGATACAATAAAAATTGTCGCTTTTATATTTTTTGCATTTGACTTTATTATGATGATAAATTGCATATCGACTTTCTTGTTTAATACACCCTGTATATGTTTTTATACATGCAAAATTGTGTACCATTAAGGAACATGTCACAAAAATGAGCTTCATTACGAACAATGGACGTTATAAATTATAACGAACGAATACAACTACTTAGAAGATCATGATCAGTAAAATAGTATAAATAAGCCCTGGGAGGCCCATTGTGCAGTCATGTACAATAAAGGTGGAAGGCTAAAACACCCACCCATATATGTACGAGTGAGTTTCGATGTTATTAATCAAAACTTTTTCTAATATTATAAAAACCTACACAGTGTGTGCCGCGAATATAAAGACAGTAAACATCTTTAACTATTCGGAAAGAATATTTTAGTTACACATATGATTTTCATTTAATTAGGTGGTTATTATCGCGTTTATTACTCAAGAAACTGTCGTTTTTAAAAATTAAAAAATTCGTTGAGATAAATCTTCAAAAAAGAATATGCGAAAATTTCTTCTGCCTATTTAATATTAGTATATATACGTTTCTTTTTAATATTTAAGTATTTATTTGTTTATTTATTCACTGTTCGTATTTCTTCAATATACTTTAAATCTAATTTACAAAATTAATATGTGAATCTTAAGGAAGTTTTACATTTTTTTTATAAATGCACTTAAGTCGTTGTAGCACACAAGAACGATTATATAAATTAATTACAAATAAAACGGTATATAGTGCAATTAAAGGTGTAACAAAGTGTAAAAACATGATTAATGTGAGATACCTATTTAACTTGCGTAAAAACAAAGCATATATTCATTATATGAAAAATTTACTGTGGATTGCCTTGAAACACTGATACAAAATTAATTTAAGATACAAAATTACATAATGACTGTAAAAATTATAATAAGCAAGCTTCTACAAGTTATTTCGCTCACACTGATGTTAAAGATCGTCGAAAATGCAATAATTTGATAAATTTGTTTTTAAGTCCTGACCAGGATATTACGATAAAACTAAAGTTTCTAAACTTCTAGGTTAAATAATTTAACATACACTTTGCGTAGAATGACAGTGAATACTATTCTTCTTTATCGAGAAGAAAAGTAATTTTTTTCTATACCTCGCTAACAGTATTTTTTTTTCTGGATAAAAGGTACCCTCCCTATGTGTTTTCTGTATCCCTGTCAGTGTGTGTTCAAAATTTGGGTAGTTAAGGAGTGAAATGGTAATAAACAAACAAACTCATTCGCATTTATAATACTAGTTAGGATAAATATCTTCAACAATACACTTGAAAGGATCAATGAAATCAATAATAACTGCCTTATTCTTCCACTTTAAGGCAAGTGTCTTAAATAGGTGACCGTTTTTGCTAATTATGTGTAGACAAATGCTTATTTTCGTTTCTAATCTTTTGGTTTGGCGAACTAGATTATTTAATTGCAAGTTTTTGTTGGGCTAGTTTCATTAATTTTAACATATTTGAGCACGTACGTATGTATTTAGTGTAGTTAAGTCGTTCAAGTGCATATTGCGTAATTTCTACGGTAATTTACTTGTTAGAACCAATTCAAGAAAGTAGGTTGCAGTCTAAATCTGATACTGAAGATATTATAAATACTATGGTTAAAAGCAGGTAGTATTGCCTGAATTGAAAACTTTAATTATATCGTATGCTGTTAAAACTTTTTTAAACAATGATTCCGTTATTGTGAGAAGTGAAGACATTAACAGTCCCTTGAGAGAAACTTTCATTCCCAAGAAAAATAATGCTAAATAAATTAATGGCGGAAAGAACGTTTTAATGTAGATAATAACACATAATAATATATTTATGTACGTTCACGATTAGTCCAACATTTTTTATTTCAACTAAGTACTGTATAAAAATGATATAACGAAATATTTTCTGGAGAAAAATATCAGTTGAGGTTTTCCTTTAAAATTAAGGCTTTTACAAAAATAAACAATATTAGAATATAATATACTTATGTCTATATGAATAATTTTCATGTGGTATTTTTGAAAATCCATATTTAGGTGTGGTTAGGAAGTTAGGATCTATTATTATACTTTATGTAAACCAGTAATCAGTCTAGCGACCGGGAAATTAGGAAAACCCGGAAAATAAAATTGACCTAGAATAATCGGGAAAAGCTGAAAAATTTGCGGTATTGACGAAACAATATGGCAATTTTCGTTAGTCACGCATCTAACAATTAATTAATATTTTCAATAATATGAGTACTATAAATAAAATTGATATAAAGTGTGTATGAACAAAACAGAAAATTTGAAAAACGGGCTAATTTATTTCCCATAAAGATGGTAGACCAAAATGGTATAGATAGGAAATTTAAGAAAAATAACCAAGAAAAATCGGGAATTTTGTTTTGATTTGACGCTAGACACCCTGCAAACGATTTTTGAGAAAAAAGCTGTAACAAATGTATTAAGCACTTTATTGATTATTTACTGTAGCTGGTCGGGACTCTTGTATTTAATTTATTTTATTTTATTGTTATTTTATTTAATGGATTGTATATTTTATTAATAACTTTATTAAAACTTACAAACTTATGACATCAATTTTGCTGCCTATTTAAGCGGTAGTCAAAGACTATTAAACTACGACATTAGAAGATTAGACAGAAAAAAATACTGTTCTCGAAAGATAGAAAAATCTCTTTTCATTTCGATATAGAAGGATATTATTTATTGTCATTCTACGCAAAAGTATGTTTAACCTAGGAAATTAGAAACTTTAGTTTTATACTGATGATCCTAGACAGAACAAAATCAGATTACTAGTTTTCTATAAAATCAAGATAAACGCATTCCTTTAACTTGATAAAATTATTTTTAAAAATCACTGTCACGTGTAATTTTTGAATATATGTATGTATATTATAGTTTTTTTTTTGATATGACATTACATCATTAAAATACCGTTGTTAAATGTTAAATGTGTTCCACCCAGTTAATAATCGTGATAAATTTTTAAATAGATTTTCGCTAAGCAATTTAAATTTGAGTCAGCCTAATAATACACACACAACGTTAAAGTAAACAAACGGAGTCATTAGCATAATGATCTCGTTTTCTCGAAAATCTTTTTTATGAGATCACTCGGCCTTTCTCCTCGTTTCAGTGGTTTTATTTAATGCTTTTGAACGATAGATTCATTAAAAGGCTGATGACGCGTTAGAAACGTGAATACAAACTGTAAAAACTGGGTAGAGTTTAATGACAGTATATTATATAGAACATAAAACGTATATAGATAAATGTATGTATAAAATATAATGTAATGTAACGTAATGAATGCAGCGCCGATTCTCTGTGTCGTAACCCCATGTAACCCACATTTTTTTGATTAGCTGTTGCGATAAAATTGTTGGATTTCCGCCTGGAGGCGTACTGTCTTTAAGTCATATTAGATATTTTATGTGGACCATTGTTATTTTTCAACCAAGTATTGTCACTTTAAATTAGTTTCAAAAGAACGCAAAAGTAAGTGGCGAATTGTTGAAATTTGAGTGCAAACTTATCGGTCAATTTTAATTATCTCAATCGAAAAAGCCGAATAACAACATTCGTTTTAACTGATAGTTGTGGAGAGACAAAAATGTAATGAAAACCAAATCGACAAAAAAAATTAAAAATTTTTGAAATAAACATAAATAAAAAAAAATTTTTTGACCACAAATTACCTAAAGGCGGTAGGTAATAGAGAAAGATGCACAAAGTGGCAGATAGAAATCATTAAATGGAATTTTTGGTAAAGGTCTAGTTGATGGGGGGGGGGTCGAAAGAGGAGGTCTCCCCCACCCATAAAAAGTTATGGGGGTTGGATGATGGTCCCCACCCCCTTCGGGGGTAGGAGTGGGGGGGGGGTCGAAAGAGAGTGGTCACCTGAGTAAAACCCCATAAAAAATTTTCGGCGGTCTCACCCCCATAAAAAGTTATGGGAGTTGAAAGTTGATTATTTTGACAATTTTCATACAGTATAATTCAAATAAAATTCAATAAAAAAATTATTTTCAAGCGGGTGGTGGTGGGGGATCGAAAGAGGGTGGTCACTTGAACAAAACCCGATAACCTAACCTAACCTACCCTATTGATAAAGGTATTTAAATAATGTTTTATATAACTTTCTCAATATTTTTTATGTATTTTTCATTAGTTTTACCTTTGAATATTGTTTAAGAATGACAATATAAATATTTACATGCCTAGGAATGTATAAATTTGGCACTTTTTATGGGGGTGAGGCCGCCACGAATTTCTTATGGTACTGTGGTGGGGGAGACCTCCTCTTTCGATCCCCCCACCCCCACGCCCTTCGGGGTGAGGGCCATCATCTAGACCTTTACCGAATTTTTAACTATTGTAAAATGATTACATTATGTATATTAGCGATTTTAAGACACAAAAATGAAATTAATTTCTACTTTAAGAACATTTTTAAGATTCAAACTACTTGAACTTACTTCTTTCGTTTTGAGAAATAAGTTCTTTTCGTTTCCTTTCGGCTTCTTCGTATTTCATTTTCCACCTGACGGCGTCTTCATTAACGACCGGTCTGTTCTTTGTGACCGTTGGGGTACTTGGTTTGCTAAGTGTCCTCCTTAACGGGATGTTGGATTTGCCATTGAGAGGCGGTGAAGTTTTGCCTGCCGTAAAGCAGTCGCTGTTGTTGCTATTTATTGTTGTCATGTTTTGTTATTGGAAGAAACCGTTGCGCTCTTTTTCAGGGTCTTTCATCAATCGACCCATCCAGCAATGAAAATTGGCACGCTCTGAAAACAAAAAATATTTCTTACCGAAACCGTCACGTACTTATACAATTTATAACAACTAACATCTGCCAAAACAGATACTAGTCCTGTCCTGCTTATTATCTTTTGGAAAAATGATTATTAATGATCCTGAAATTTTATTTGTCTGTCTGTCTATCAGTACCGGCTAATCGTCAAAACGGCCGAACCAATTGTCAGGAGAGATTTGTAGATCATCTTTGTAAATTAGGTTTATAACAAGTAGATATAGACTGGATACCCGATTTGTATCCATTGCATTGAGATAGATCGTTTTTCCCAATTTGTATAATTTTTTTATTACTATACTAAATTATTTGTTATGTTCTGGTGTTTACCTTTTCTCATGGTAAATCAGGTTTTGATTAACAACTTATTAATTGATTTGTCACATTGCAGATTTTTAGTATTTGTGAATATTATAGGCTTGTTTCAAGTCAACCCTTTCGATAAAAATCTGCCAACCAAAAATTAAAATTTCATTGGTTTAGTATTTAAACGACTTTTTGAACGAGACTTTATGTGGTTTAAGACGTTAGTAAGGGTGGTATTTAATGAAAAACCCGCCAGAACGACGTCATGAACCATAAACCGCAGTGGTTCTGCTGGGTTTCCAGTTACTATCCGGTGAACCTCTAAATAATAATTGTGTTTATTATATTTTAATTAACAATGTCGGAAAACGATTAGCGTGGACGAAATCACTGCTAAAAGCTTGTAATCAATGTAAATATTTTTGATAATATACCTAAAATTTCAAAAAAATCTCTTTATAGATCTTTCAAACAATTTCGATATAGAAGGATATTATTTATTGTACATGTAGTAACGATAAGAATAAAACAATTAATTTTTAGTATTCTATCCAAACATTGGGAAATTTTGTAGATTTTCTTCTCTTATATGTAATTCTTTTTGCCATTTATTCCTGCATTTTTTAACATTCATAACATTCTCTGCGAGTAGTACATATCTGTTTGTCTTCGTTCTAATCTCTTTAACGGTCTCTTTTTATAATCGTACTATTCGGTCACCTTGCCTGCTTGTCTCGAGAACTATGTTGCTTCTATGTATGTATTGTGAAGATACAGTTTTTGGATAAAATCTTGAATTCTGTTGTTGAGAATAAATAGTCCGATTAAATTTAAAAATTAATTTACGGTTTTATGAATTAAATATTCAAATTTTGTAGAAATGCGTATTTTACATATTCTAACATTTTTTGTTACAAATTGTACGGTTGATAACAATCTTGCCATAGGTATTTCTGTTGTTATTAAGGGGCTTTAGTGAAAGATATTTGAATTAAAAAAAAAAATAAGAATATTTAAGCTTATTAAATTATTATGTGTACATACATATTTGCGTTTATTCAATTATAGAAATACTTAATAGTAATGCAGAAGTACTGTTTGCGTAGGTCATAAGCATATGTATAATTACAATACATGCATTTTCATGAAACTTTTGCTGGAAAAATAGAGACGTTGCCCATGCTTTAATAGTTCTGGCGCACCCTGAATATTAATAACCTAACCGGATATAATAACGTAAAATTTAAAACCGTAAGCATCCAAGTTCACATAACCCAAGACGCTTTGCTTAATACAAAACTATGCGGAGTTTTTATTTAACGGTACAAAAAGTCTATTACTTTGTCTAAATCGAGAGATTTTGCGATTTTTCTCGTTGAACCTGATCGCTAAATTATGGTAAAAAAATTGCATACGCACTAGGGGAGGAAATTAATATGCGGTTTGATTCCTTACTTTTGATAATTAGTTGCGTAATATTATGAATTACTATTCTTTATTACTATCCATTACTATAGACCTCGTTTTTTTAAGTTTTAAGTCCAATTGCGAAGTTTTTCGATTGTTTGAACCAAATGAAAAAAATATTTGAGTATTGCCGCGATTTTTTTTTACATAGGTAAAAATAAGATTAACTTTACCTCATATACATACAAATAAAAATAATCTTTTCTTTATGTATGATAATTTTTGGAATTACCCGATAACTAATATAATATTNAATTGAAAAATATTTTTATCACAATTTTACCCTTTCCGACTTATGTACGTCTTTCAATAGAGGAACATTATTGTTTAACTAATTTATTTAAAAAAAAATGTAAAGAAGATGGGAATAAAGTTTTCGAGCTTTGAATTTCTTATATTAGTAACTTCCATAGGATTAACAAGACTGGAAATGATTACAATTTAAACATTCTGTAAACATAGGTATTACACGAAGTGTGTAGGAGCCATGTATTCCATATAAAATATACAGTAAATTGTGCCTTCCGTAATTTCCAATGTGTATTATGAGGTTCAGCGACATTTGCCGGCGCCTCTAGGGCTTTTTAGCTATTTGTTAAGACGCCAGCTGTATTGCACGCTGTATGACGGGTTATAAAAAGAAAAGCCAAGAGCGAAACGAATGATTCATCTTTATTAATTAATAAAGTAGTCGGTCCAAAAATTTTAGGTTTGGCACGTTCGACTCAAAAGCCTCATCGATCGACATTTAATGCATGTATAGTAACAAAATCGCAAAAAAATTTTTGAACTACGGTAAAACAGCACGAAAAAAAACACCGCATCAATGTACGCCGGCCGTGAAAACCTAAGACTACAGAAATTTTTACTTTGTCTAAAATCGAAAAAAATACGTATGACAAATATTTATACTTCAACCAATTTTATGTATCATCAATTAGTTAAAAAAGATGATCTGAAAAATTTTGGAGATAGAAACGGAGAAATGAAATTTTAAGATAAGTTTCAAAAATCATGAAGTCTACAGACTTCTAAAATATTCATTTATTTATTATTATTAAATAAACTTGCCCTATTAATACTGACACATATAAATATTGTTATGAAAATCGTGTTCAAATTTTAACAACCGTTTTAATTTAAATCGTGTCCATAAGGACGAAGTGACAGACAAAATTTTAAATGCTTTTTTTTTTTTAATTTTTACATGTGTTAGAGGTCAAAACTCTTTTGGGTTTTATTTATGCTTGGATGTTGTAAATTCCTACAAAGCAAGTGCCATTGTTACAGTAGCTACCAGAAAATTGTGTTGCTGATGGACAACAAAACACATCCATAGGGAACAATCTTTTTTTTCCTTTTTGAAATATGGAAGATTCCAAACGATAATCTCGAGTTAAATTTGATTTCTTCCTTTACTTTTTCATCAAATATAAACAGCATGCATGCTTTTAAAATTACTTTAGGTTATTCATAAATGATTTGATTAATTGGGTACAGCGATTTTAACTCTAAAACGCCAATAAACTGTCTGTTAATGAAAGTATTTGATTTTACACATAATTTATGATCGAGTAAGCTTTTTTTTTCAATAAACGCGGTCGCCTCTTTTAATTTTCTGCAGGCCTCGAGGGTACAATTTAAGGCGAATTCAAACTTCAGTTTCACCTGTCGGAATCTGAAAGTGTGCGTATCATATACATTAAAGTACACTTTCGTTTGTATTCAATCCTTTCGCATTTTATCGCCTACAATACATACAAGGCAAGAAATACTTACTCTCCGATAAGTTAACGATATATCATAATTTCACCTTCTTTGTTCGATGATTTCTTTCTGTTCTTTATTCGCAGTAAAATGTATATCTTTCTTCCATAATCATTAACTCGTTTAGCACTCTGTATATGCAGGCATATTAATTGCGTGTAATTCTATAGTTGCGCCATTAGCAGAAAGAAAAGTTTTCTCAAGGAAAAATCGATGACTCAGATTCTGATAACAGCCACTATAGGTATACATAAGGTAATAATTACGTTTAATTAAAAAGTAAGGTTTTGATCTATTGTTGCAACGTATGCCTATGTAGTCACGATTCTAATTTGAATTCATAAAGAGAAGGAACATACCAGCACAATAAAAGTTGTACGTAATGCATTGTGTCCATAGTATACGTCAATGTATCGCCAAATTAATGAAATCCTTGCAAAAAAGGATTCCATGTAATTAAACTTCCTGTTTATGAAAAATAAAACGTTGATAGCTGTATTTGTACCTAGTCAATTCCTAAATGAGACAAAAGCTCTTTATTTTGTTGAAACTACTGCCACTTGTTCTTATAACAATGGGAAGAATGGAAAATATGTAGTTATTAATATTTGTTATATAATCAATACACCGAAGACGCCATCAACATCATTAAAGACAGTACAACTGTAGGGATAGATGTGCAAGGGCAAACGATTAGTATGCTTAGATTTGCAGATGATATAGCAATATTTGCATCTAGCAAGGAGGACCTAGAGATAGCTTTAAATAAAATGGATGCGGTCCTGACAGATCAGTACTGTATGAAAATAAATAAAAGTAAAACTAAAATACTGGTATGCAAGGGAAGAAAAAGTAGGGAAAGAGCGAATATAAAGATAGGAGACGAAAAATTAGAAGAAGTGGCTGATTTTAGATACCTAGGAAGTCAGATGGAAGTAGTAGGGAGTAGTAAGCAGAGGATAGCACAGGGTCGTGTCACCTTTAATAAAAAGAAGTCACTTCTATGCTCGCGAACGGTTAATTTAGAAATTCAAAAAAGGTTGTTAAAGGTGTATGTTTGGAGCACGGTATTATACGAGTGCGAAACATGGACAGTGGGCGCGGCGGAAAAGAAAATGTTAGAAGCGTTCGAAATGTGGTGTTATAGGCGGATGATAAGGATAACGTGGGTAAAAAAGGTTAGAAATGAAGAAGTATTGGAAAGAATAGGGGAACAGAGGACTCTAAGTAAGTCAATAGAAAATAGGCGAGATAGGTTGGTGGGACACCTTCTCAGGCATGAAGGTCTAGTCAGAGACATATTAGAGGCAGAAACATGAGTTAGGAGGGATAGATTACTGTTCGCAAATAGTTAAGGATGTGGGTTGTTCTAGTTTTAGGGAAATGCGAAGTTTACCTCAGGATAGGAAAGAGTGGAGGTACGTGTCCAACCAGTCTTAGGACTGACGACCTTATGATGATGATATAATCAATAAAATAACAAATGTATTTGCAATAAATTGACTAATTAGGGTTTTAAAAAAATTAAATTCTATTAAAATTATTTTAAGGAAAATTAGATATTATTCTCTTGTAACCAGTGGACAACTTATTAAATCAGTTTCACAACTTTTTAAATATGAGGTGATGTAATTTCCAAAATAATTCGTAGATACAATTAACATAGGCAACAAATTTCGATAGATGATAGAACCATAATGTTTATAAATGCTGTACAACAATAGCATTTTTCTATTTGTTTTTTTACAGTCGGTTAAAATTACCTAGAAAATTTATTCTGAACGTTATTTTACAATCTTTAAATCCTTAAAATTATCTAATTTCTCCATACATTAATACAGAGTGTACTGAATGCAAAGATGAATTTGATGAATTAAGTGCCATTATTTAAAGCAGTAAAACTTCGGTTTACAGCTAATTCGGTATTAGAATCGAGAAAAAAACGTTAGCCGCAAATAAAGAAAAGTCATCGAACTCTATCAGTTGCCGTTTACTTTTACCGATTGTAACTTCGCATTCTACTTTTTTTTTGTTTACAAAGGAAATTCTGTGGATTAATTTGCATAGCTCGATGAAATTTGGTTAAGATCAATATTATACCCCGCAATTTCAAGAAATGGTGAAAGAGACCCGTACCATTCTGTAATACGAAACAGGTGTTTCAGCCACTTTCTTTGAGTACAGTGAAAGCTGTCGAATATTTCATGAGATGGCACTCCTGCGGTCGCGAAATGACTTAAATTATTTACTTAAAGCACATAATAAGTACGTTATGTACATTATACATAAAAAAACACACTGTCGTCAATAAGTACGATTTCCGAACTATTTAAAGTTATTGAAATTAATAGCGGTGATTAAAATGAATTTTATTGAGTAATAGGTGTTTTAATTGTTTATTGTCATATGTGATAATATAGTTTACATTAAAAGTTATTACGGAATAGTTAAATCACTGAACAGGCCTCGAGATTGCATTTGGTGTGCTGATGAGGTCAAATAAATCAAAATGTACTCTGTACTTTTATTGTAACAATTGTAGAAGCTGAGATATAATTGAGTTAAAAAAAGTCTGCATGATTAAAATTGACAAGTTAAAGCTACTTTTATATAAAAGCTTTCTAATTAAAATATTGCCATTACGCTAAATGTAAAACGAAAAAAGTTCTCATAGGATTGTTTGGATATTATACGATTCCTTAGGATCAGTTTATATCAACATCAACTTATGTGATCTTATACATTTTTGTTTGCATTGTAATAATCTCATAACACTGTAATTGTAAAGTACATCTGCTAAATATGCGGTCTTTTCGAATAAATCTCTGAATAAGAACTGTTAAAACTTATCCCAGCTGTGTCGAATTTTTAATTTTAACGAAATTTTATTAGTCATGTCACTGCTCTTAATTAATTTGACAAAGCAATTACACGCAATTGATGGAACTTTATAATATAAATGTATGCATTAGATATTCACTTTTAAATTAATGTATTTTAACTGAAGGGTAAATGTGAGTCAATAATTAACCCTCCATCCCCGTTGTAATGTGATTTAGTACATGAAAGATAGAATACGTAGGTATACCGCATGGCGGTGACTAATTGTTTTCAATAGTGTTTCTATACGTCATTTTCATTTCGTATGAAATAAAAATAAAATATTTTTGTTTACTTCTTAAATTAATTTTAAAGTTGTTTAAATCGAAATTTATTCCCTTTATTGGAAAAATTAATTTTATGCGTTTTCTATTTGTAGGTAGTATTCTACTTTCTTTTTCTTTCTATAATACTTTGGTAAAAATAGATTACAAACCTTACGATCTTAAAGGAATTCCTGTAAGCGCACACAAAAGGTGTTTACCACATCTCTTTTGTCGATAGCTTATTTATTCACTGAAAACGCTTTTCACACTCGAGAAAAACCACCTGGAATTTAATGTTTCAGTAATTCACTTACGAAATCGCTGAACGAAAGCTAATTCCGTAATGTGATATGTGCTATCTTTTTAAAGTGCTTATCTTAAGATAAAATAGTAATCTTTCAGCTGATACATAAGTATACTGTGTGTACTTGTATTTTAAACAATATTTTCATGGTATCACGGAAATTCTTATTTTTTGCGAAAATGAGATTGTTTGCAAACAATGTAAACAAAAAATCCATAAGATGATTCACAGCATTCGTAAGTTTAACAGAAATAAATTAATAATAGAAAAGTTTTTACTTGGCGGAAGTTTTGTCTTAATCTTTGTTTATTTTCCTTGAAAGAGTTACATCATAAGAAGACTTTTCTGTATTTTGCATTATTAGTGAAAGTCAAAATTATTTATTTAAATAGAAAAGATTTGAAGTGAAATATTTGATGATTGAGATTTTTAGTTTGCTAAAACGAACAAATGCAGAAAGGAATGAAATGCTTGCAATTTTTAAAAATACGTTGCTTAAGCAATTTTTCTATAGTAACTATGCAAAATTTAATCCAATTTACAAGTGGAGGAAATTTTTATTGCCTGTACGGTTTAGCGTGAAAAATTGAAATTATCAATTAGATAAAAAAATGTTCTTTACGGGTATGTAGCTATTGTTTAATTTCAGATAGCTACTCATACAAAATTTAGTCTTTGAAATGTAAATAAATATTATTTTCTTCGCTATTTAATGTTTCGTTTAAACTTCCCCAGGGTTTTTAAGAAATCATACATTCACACATAAGAATATGTTTAAAAGTAGTAAGAACAAGTAATAATTTCTTTAAAAAATAGTTATTTTTCATGTACTGCTTTCCAAAAGGTCGGCAAATAAACTTGGATAAACAAGCATGTGCTTACCTTATAGACAGCGTGTTGCCCTGTCACGTTTCATAACAAAAATATAATTTTGTAATGATAAAATTACGAACTCAGGTGAACTAATAATAACAAAATTTTATTATGTTTTTATTAAAAAAGTATAATGGCAAGGTAAAAGTGGGTATGTATTTGTATGTCAATCACGAGTCTTTAGACAAAGAGAACACTGAACCCGATGTTAATACATATATGACAATAAATTATTCACCAACGTATCAAGACGCGCTGGGGAACAATCGGAATCGGATATATTTTTTATTGACGTCGCGACGACGGCGCCCAAGTACTTGGTTGCGTCCTCAACCAAAGGGGCCAGCGAACGAACTGACAATGAAACGAAAGAAACAACCAAGCAATAAACACAACGCGAGTTGTATACGTAAATGGTACATCATATGTACGTATGTATGAATTTACAACACTTACTTTACTTCAGCTTTGCCAGTGCGTATACATGGTGATTACTTACGACTTTGTGAGAAAAACATGGATTATTTTGAGAAATTGCTGTGGTTATTAAAATTAGTTAAGCGATGGCGAACATTTTTATATCCGCACCACGTGCCACATTCTAATAAAACAATAATGCTTACCGGTAACGTATACGCTCAAAACGGAGCCATGACAGTTAAATAAATATCTTTTAAAATAGGGATGAGCCGGGTACCCGGTTTAGATATTTTTTTAAGGATCTTTGGCACTTTTTTAAGGATCCAGCCGGGTACCGGATAATGACACCGAGTCAGTATGGCAATTTCTGTCGCTTGTTGGTACATCAGGTTTTGATTAACGATAACTTATTGGTAAAATTTTATCACCTTGTAGGCTTTTAGTGTTTATCAGCATTATAGGCTTCTTTCAACTCCACGTTTTCATTCAAAATCCGCCGACCAAGAATTAAAATTTTATTGGCTAGTATTTGAACGGGGTTTAATGTGGTTTACGACGTTGGTGAGGGTGGTATTTAATGGAAAGCCGACCAGAACGAAAATATGAACCATTAACCGTGTATCTGTATTTTAAATGTACTAAAAAGCGTAAATTTTAAGGTGTATACGTTTTCCAGAAGAAATATATTTTAGTTTTTTTTTTTGTTTTGACTTACTCTACTATTTTGATGGGGAGTTTGAAAATATGAGGAGGAGTATGTTTTATAACTATGATATAATCACAGGGGTACTGTTTATATGAGAAGTAAGATATTTAGTAAATTTTCTTTTCGAATGCAAGCGAAACATTTTTAATTGCTGAACACGAATTATTTTTGAAATGTCAGTGACTGCTTATTTCCAATACTTAAAACGACAAATGAATGCTTACAACAATTTGTTTGAAAATAATAGACTTAATTAATTTTAGTCGTTTTGATTATGTATTTTGTTAATATCAAATAATTCTACTAAATAATTGATTTAGAACATATAAATCAAACAAAATTTTTAATAAATTTTATAAAATAGAGATGCACCGGATAGTAATTTTTCCGGGTATCGGATAATCGGTTACTTGATGAAACCACTGCGGTTAAAGGATCATGTCTACGTCTTGGCGGGCTTTCCATTAAATGCCACCCTCGCGAAGTCCCGAAATGAAATTTTAATTCTTGGTTGACTGATTTTTAACGGGAGGGTTAAGTTGAAACCGTCGAAACGGGCCTCATGTGTATAAACACTAAAACTCTGCAAAGTGACACGATCAGACTAATAATCGTCAATCAAAATCTGATACACCAAGAAGCGACAGATGTAACAGTTCGGCCATATTGATGTACTATTGTTATAACTAATACTTTAGTATAGTAATCAATAAAAATTAGGACAAACGAAATATCCAAATACAATCTTAATTATCAATTTTCATTAAGCAGGTTTTTGTTATACTTTTATTAAATTATTATTGCTGGTGTTGGTATTTTCTATTTTTGTCTGGTATAATTATCCGACACTGCTGGGTACCTGGCGTCATTTTCCTGAAAAAAGCGCATGATGGATCCTAACAGGGTATTTGACCTATTTCTGGTTTAAAATCAAACACATTCTCGAACAGGATTTTTCCTTTTTATGACAAGTCCACGAAAAAAAAAATACTCCAGTGTAAATTCGAGATAACCATCGGAGATTATTGCAGAAATGTATAGAGGGGGTGTTTCTGAATAGTGTTTCAGTCGGATTTTTCGACTTCATGGCTAGTTTTTTTGTCAGGAGGCGTTAAACTTCAAAAAACAATGAAGCATGTTGAATTTCTCGGTTTTTTGCCGCGTTCTTTCTTTATGTGCAAACGTTTTGTCATACTGTTTGTCTGCGGGGATTTCTTTAAAGTAAAAGAATTTCTTCTATTCCTAATCTTCATCATCATCATAAGGTCATTAGTCCTAAGACTGGTTGGACACGTACCTCCACTCTTTCCTATCCTGAGCTAAACTTCGCATTTTCCTAAAACTAGAACAGCCCACATCCTTAACTATTTGCGAACAGTAATCTAATCTAGGTCTACCTCTACCCCTCCTAACTCCTGTTTCTGCCTCTAATATGTCTCTGACTAGACCTTCATGCCTGAGAAGGTGTCCTACCAACCTATCTCGCCTATTTTTTATTGACTTCCATAGAGTCCTCTGTTCTCCTATTCTTTCCAATACCTCTTCATTTCTAACCTTTTCTACCCACGATATCCTCATCATCCGCCTATAACACCACATTTCGAACGCTTCTAACCTTTTCTTTTCCGCCGTTCCCACTGTTCACGTTTCGCACTCGTACAACGCCGTGCTCCAAACACACCTTTAACAACCTTTTCCGAATTTCTAAATTAACCGTTCGCGAGCATAGAAGTGACTTCTTTTTATTGAAGGTGACACGACCCTGTGCTATCCTCTGCTTTATATCCCTACTACTCCTTCCATCCTCACTTATCTGACTTCCTAGGTATCTAAAATCAGCCACTTCTTCTAATTTTTCGTCTCCTATCTTTATATTCGCTCTTTCCTTACTTTTTCTTCCCTTGCATACCAGTATTTTAGTTTTACTTTTATTTATTTTCATACAGTACTGATCTGTCAGTACCGCTTCCGTTTTATTTAAAGCTATCTCTAGGTCCTCCTTGCTAGATGCTAATACTGCTATATTATCTACAAATCTAAGCATACTAATCTTTTGTCCTTGCACATCTATCCCTACAGTTGTACTGTCTTTAATGATGTTGATCGCGTCTTCGATGTATAGATTAAAAAGTAGCGGTGACAGTGTGCATCCCTGTCTGACTCCCTTCCTAATATTTACTTCTCTACCTTGGCATCCCCAGCTCTATAACTGCCTGTTGCTCTTTATACAAACTAAGTATCACTCTTCTATCTTTGTAATTCATCCCTACATTTTTAAGTATATTTAACATCCTAATATTTAATATGAAATGATCGTCATTTATAGATATGTGTTTGTAATTAAGAAAGTTTTAAAATGTAATTCCTTACGTTTCGTCGTTAAGATACACCGTGTTTGTGTACATCACTGAGAAATCGGTAGAGATGATTTAACTGCATTTTAAGTTAAAAAAAGTCTTTCCTTCCGTTACGCAGTGTATCGTCTGCTTCTATATTGGTACTTCGTTCTTCGAGCGGATATGTTGTGAACGTATACCGTTGAAATATGTGACATATTTTATTCATCTGCACAAGTTGAGACTGTGCGAAAAACGTACATACGCATACGTAACAACTGCAATCGAATCGCACTTTTGTAAATATATAATTAAATCCTACGAAACTATGATGGACATAAAAATACAAATGGAATATTTCATGTAAACGCATAATTGTATTATTTAAATACTAGCTAGATGATCTAGCCTAGATCGGTTTACTTTGTTTTCAATTTGAACTTTTGTCATTATGGGCCCAACAACTCCAATTTATCCTTAATATCTTCGTACCATTGTTGAGTTCCGAATTAATTTAAGACAATCCGAAATCCATTAGAAAGCAAGTGCTTTTTTCAATGAGATACAACTCTCTCTCTTTTTAGCTGTTATAAATTATTTAAAATCCAAAAAAACATTTAAAATAATTCAAATCGATCAAAAGTAATATATTTTTAAGATATGTCGACTCAATATTTTTTTGTTTTGAATTTACTTTTTTGAATGATCCATAGTTATATTTTTTTAATTTACCGGATAGTAAGTTGTTTATTTTTGTTAAGAGATATGTTTGAATAAGGTTAAACTTTTTATTTTTTATTCCGAAGAGATTTCTTCTACGTGTTCTTAGACTACGTTATCAGGTAATATAAGGTTTTCGTTCGTGTTGTCTTTTCTACCGTAACTTTATGATTCTACACTCAGAAAAATGGTGTAAGAAAAATTACTACAACTTTTATGAACAGTTTTTGCAGACGTACTCTCTAAACATGGAACAACTTGGTCTTGTTCGTTCGGTCTTGGTCTTGCTAGTATAAAGACAGTCTAGGTCTTGGTCTCGCATTTTCGCATGACCAAGACTGTAAGACTAAGAGCAATTTTGCTCATTACTAGTAGTCGAAAGATTGCATTTTTGATTTGTTTTATTTTAGTTTCAAAGTGGTGTGGTGTATTAACTAAATTTTTTTCAATGCTCTTTTAGTACCTTAATTAAATAGCTATTGATTTTTTGTTTAATTTTATTATCATTTCGTCCCCTGAAGATCAATTGCCCCCAATGAATTGTCGTTATTAGGGTGCGTAATCGAAGGAAGTGAGTGGTTGTGGTCATGTTTTGCATTTTGTTTATAATAATTTACAATATAACCAACCAGCAGAAACGTCGCGAATGCCTGTATTTTAACGTGTCCTACAACTTTTTCCTTTGCGAAAATTTTCGGCAATGCGGCGTTCTCAAGCTTTTAGTTGTCGAACTTGTGGAAATGACGATGTATTGAAAATGGATAACTAACCGTCTGTTTTATAGTTTAATGAATAGATAATTAAATCTTTTAAATCCAATAATCGAAACAATATCTGTCCTACAAAATTTTCGCATCGATTGTTGAATGCCCCGACCGCTATATGGTAAATTCACAATTGTCTAAAAATTTATTATCAACAAGCTGTATTTTATACAATTGTTAGTTATTTACTCTTAAAACAAAATGCTCATACTATCCTAGAAATATACGCCAATTTTTCAGTCCTCCATTCATCCTGCATTTTTTTTTTAAATAAAATGAAAAATAATATAAAGCTAACGTTAAATTGTTTCAAGAGGATCAGTTCCTAATAATTTACTAAATAAACTGCATTAGTATAACATAAGGCACCTATAAAATGTATTATGTATCTATCATAGGTATAGAAAGGATTTTCATCTTCCGGCTCG